CGCAAGCTCTCGGACAAGCACTGAGCATACAGTGCTTATTAATATACGTTGGGTTAGGGCAAAAACCATTATATATATAATTGACGATGACCTTCATAAAAAGATATCGTTAAACATCAGTCTTGATGATGGTAAAATTAGAGTGTTTAAAGTTACAATATATAAACAAAAGTTAAAATTTCATAATAACCACAGGCGAGAAATCAGGTGTAAGATCAACTATCATCATACATCATTGAGCGCAACGACTCTCGTAATTTTGCTTTTATTCATTGAAATAAATCGCCAACAATTACTTTCTTAGTACGCACGAATCTACAATTAAAGATTCGCAACTCAAAGGGACCGTGGAATGCAAGTTTTGAGAGTATAAAGTTCTTCATCAGAAATTTCAACGTCCGCATAAAATGAGTAAAAATGCAATTTACACATACATGTACAACAATTAAACAAGTAAACAGGATTATGAATGATTTAAATAACTAAAAACATTTGGCTCCATAGACAACGTGCGGTTACCAGACCCAGTGTTGAAGACCCTAGACATTCTTTGTACACGGTGATCGCCACTGCGGGGTTGCTGGTAACCGGGTTGCTGGTAACCCACAGACTCGCGGTGTTTCGCTGCGGTATACTGGAGTAAATAAACGGTGGAAAGATGCAGGAGGAAGTTGCACAGTACTCTTCAGTAGCACTCAGGAGTCAGCGAGTGATCCCCGCAGATGCGCTCGAAAATTCCAAATCAGCAGTGGTCATGTGGCAAACGTCGGACGTTTTTAAAGTCAGTTATGACATTTTGCGGTTCCGGCGGTAGAGAACAAATACCCAAATATGAACTTCGATATTTATATCATAAGTTGCAATCCCAGTGGTTCCTACGGTTGAGAAGATGGGAACATGCCGCAGGAATGCATTTGACAAGGTGGCAAGCTAGGTTTCATGCCTGGCCAATTGTGGCCAGTGACAGGAAGGACAACCAATCTTTTCATGTTTTTGTGTGTTTTTTTTAAATTTTCCTCTGGACCAGCTACATCACTTTCACTTTTCTTGTGGCGCATTTTAAGAGAGACTTTTAAGGATGTAAAGACGTAACCAGCCTTTCATTATCATTGGAATATCAGGACAATTCCAATGACGGTGGTTTCTGACTCATGGCAGCCATGTTGAAAGTGCAGAAGTGTTACGGACACGCATGCGCGCTCCCCACAATCCTTTGCAAAAGCATTCCTCGTAGCCCGTATAGTGGCGCGTAATTTTTGTCCTTGCAGCACGTGCAGCGCTGGCGGTGGCCATCATGGACTCTTTTGATCTCTGAATGTGCTGACTCCTTGTGTATAATAGCTCCATGCTTCAACATCAAGCCTTCGTATACACGTTTCTTGAGCAATTCCACCTGTGTTTGCAACCCCATAATTTGTTAATTCTTTAAAATATACTGACCTACAACTTTTGTCAAAGACAGTGTAGATGATCACTCTTAAAAATAAACGCAAAGACTGAGGCGAAATCTATAAACTATTTCAAAATCTCATTATTTTCTAGTTCTATACTACATCACACTAGATGTTAAGAAACAATAAGAAATCATAAATATTTTAATTATAAACGATATTCGAACGATGAAAAGCAGAATTGAAACCGCTTGTGATTCTGGGTATTATGATTTGTACATTATATCGCGATAACTATTTATACTACAGTCAGCGATACTCATATTAACTGTGATATAATAAAACAACTAGTATTTGAATGATAAATTGGAAATAGGAAATTTCTGACGATACTTACTATTCTAAATATGCATATACATGGCTAAAACAAAAGCATCACTGCAACAATCGTCTTAATGTGATTTGTTTCACGAGCAGGTGGCAATTAAAGACTCAATAGCAAGGCCATGTTTTGGTGATGCAGAGCTCATCATCGGGACAGGTTGATAATCTCACATCATGGTGTACGAAGTAGACAGGTTCCCAGATTTTCCGCAGCACGCCATCAACTGCCGGAGAACCTCCAGGACTGCACTACATGCCTGTTTAGGAAAAAACAAAGGGGCGGAGGGTAATCCTAATTTGTTCCCTGCTCAGGCTCCTTCCAAAAGGGTTGGGGCGGTTGGGAGTACTGCCCCCATCGGCATGCATCAAAATTATCTATTGTTCTTGTGATTTGTGACCCCAGTTCTGTCGGCCTTGGTCTAGCGTAGCCAAGTCAAGCCAAGCCCAGCCCAGCCCAGCCCATAAGATTAAAGATAGAGTGGTTACCTGAATAAATAATATTGCCACAGTCAATTCGGAACAGAAAGCATCCTTTCCTGCCGATATTCGAATCTTGGTCTATGTTTACGATCGCATTTGTTCTGGATCCAGGGACAGTGATGAAGGTCAAATTATCGACAGCATTCACGCCAATCTGGGCGAGAAAATAATCGATGTGATGTCAGAGATTTATAAAATCATTATTAGGCCCTAGTTACAGCTGAAAGTTCCAACTGAGAAAGGACGTGCGTTCTTATTTTCGTTGTACAAAACCTCAATTTCGGGAAAAAATGTGGAGGGTATTTTGTCAGACGGGGTGAAATAACGAGAACATAATACACTCTCTCACCATTTCTGAATGGTACACCTGACTTCTCTGTTCTTGCTTATGTTTCTTAGGTAAGAGGGGGCATAGAATTGCTACAAGATTACAAAAATTCAAGCCAAGTGATACTTAAGATAGTTTAATTGCTGAGTGCAGGATCTAAAATAAAAGCGTACTTGAGCAGGAGGTCCGATGCTCCCGCCACCACTAACACCAGCGGGCCAGTTGATTTCCCCGTAATTAAATATGGCGAAAGAAATCTTCCTGTTCGTCACCAGTACGACTTGAAAAGTGTTTGTCTAGTGAAAAAGTGACAAGCTTAATTTTATTATAATTAAAAACCGTGCCACTGAATTATCAGTATTGTTCGCGGCCAACTTTTTTGAAAGGGTTTGATCATTAAAATGTCAACAGCATAATATATATGAGCACGATGATTCCTTTGTACATACATAGTCTGAGAACGTACAGTCGTTGCTAGGATCCAAGCATCCCTTAATAAAGACCAACCTTCCACGACAGTGAGTTTTGAGTGAGCAAAGACTCGGAACTCAACGAACCTGAACACTGAAAGATTGTTTTGTTTCAGTGCATACATGACTACCAGCAATAAATGTTTCAAAAGCTTGGAAGACACTACCAATAAATTAAACGTGATGTATGATAGGTCAATTTGTAAATGATAAGTTATTTTCTATTCGTGTATTACTTGTGTTTCTTGAAAATGGCGCTGACCGCGCATATGCAGACGTTATACGGGGTTCTCGCTGCATACTGAAAAGACTAAACTGACGATAATCTTTTACTCTACATTGCACATTATCCATTTCGCCCATTTAGGTTCGGCTAAATATCCACTGATGAATCAACCCCTGTGTGATATAAACATTTCAGAAATGAAGTTTGCTCCATTTGTTTCAATTAGTTATCCTACTAAAAATTAGCCATGCAAGTTTGGATAAACATGTTTCCTTTTGCCTGTGGCGTGACTCACGAGTTTCGAGGCGTTGTGTAAATGCCCCCCAAGGTTTAATTAATAAGTTCTCCACTTAAAATCGTCTGTTTGCAGATATAATATACAATAAGGTTTCCCGTTAGTCTGTGGCCTGACTCACGATATTCAAAGCGTTGTGACCACTGGCTCCATAAAACGGGACTCTGCTCCAGGTTGCGATAAACATCCACGCTGTGGAGAATGTGGACTGATCGGTGATGGCTCCCTTGATGACGCAATCCGCTTGAGCGAAGATCTCATCATTTTCTGGAACACAGGTAAGCTCACGATAGGTGACGTTGCCTCCGTATCTTACGTCCATGTCAGCCCAGAATGGTGCCACCATTCGTTTGTCTCCACCAAGAGGAAATGCTTCCGGTACATAGCTCCTAACTTCGTTGAGAAAGGAAAGCACGCCATTCGTGTTCACCTGCACTTTTACGGGACAAAGGTTCTGATTGAAACAGTTCTTTGATTGGAATATGCAAGCATGTTTAGCCATGTTGGATACTGCCCTTTTTAATGAAGAATTTCAGGTATGGTTATCAATAAAGAAATCATTTTCACTCATCGACATTTAAAATTCCTGACGTAGATGATGGGGACGTTCTTGATGATGTGATAGCCTGGAGTTGTGTACTAACAGCAGGCGAGACGGACTGTCTCAATATTCCTCTTCTGGTTTTCGCTTAAACGATGTAAAACCTCAATCAGCGATATTTTCTGCTTTTTCTCTATTCATAAAAATGGACCTGCTCCACTGGGCCACTTTTGAGACGTTAAGTGGCGACAAAATCCCAGGTGACCGGTCTACTACAACTCAATATTGCGACGCAAACAAACGTCTACAGGTCGCGAGGAGGGGGACCAGTTTGCCGTCACCAGTGAGGCAGTTCGATATTCTAACAGCGTATGCTAGTGTGAGGCTATTCGAGAACCCTGGAGTTCGGGAACCGCTAGCGCTGCGCGCGCAGTGGATTTTCAGTCACGTGATTTTTGACGATCGGCGTTCAGTCTATACGGATGTGCTAAGAAGCGCACACCTTCGAAATCTTTCAACATTCATGCGTACATGAAATTGCCATAGGAAATACCCAGATTTGAAAATGCCCGTGCCTGCACGGATAAGGTACCCTTCCTCAAATGCCTTTCGCCACGTCAATATTATACGTTATGTGAATAACCTCTAGCAGTGTACACCATAGAGTTGAAGCGCTTGCGCGTTAACATAACAGCGTAGTCGCATATGTCGCCCTGTTCTGCTGCCAAATTTGCCTAACGTAAAAGAATAAGCTTGTCATCTCTAGCCTTACAATCCGCCCTGAGCTGAAGTGCGCCCTCACCGGCGAAAGATGGATGGTACTGAGTTTTCGAACCGGGATCTTGCATGCTTTCGACGTGCACTCGCGGAGACCATATATTTCAGACTAAATTCGTTGCGTGTACTCAGCGTGCTCCGCGTCAAATGCACATAGACTTGCGCGGCTATGCAATGAGTGCGCACCAAATGACTGTCAATTTCATTTGAAAACACCTCCTCTAAAATTTGTTGCTGCTTGGGGGAGCGGAACATGATATCTTGTCGAGTTCGAACAACCTGTTCTTGACACGGGTTTCCTGTTCTTGCCCTCGAACGGCGGGAACACGATCCAGAACTTTGTTCTCGTCTCAGGATCACACACCTTCTCCTCGTTTGAGTTTTTCTCGAACAGACGCAAAAAGGTGCGGGGATTCTGATTACCGGTACGAACAGCATCAAAAAATTGCTAAATGGCCGACAAAGCCTAAGACGCTGGAAGCGTTCTGTAAAATTCAGCATAAACAATTTTCAATAGTAGAGAAACGACTTTTTAAAATAGCAAATAATGCAGCCTAGAAATCCAAACATTAACCTTACAAAACCCCGTAAATTGACACCACCGTGTTGCAGGTTGCTTGTCACAAACTACAAGCGATAGCTGTGCATTCTCAGCGGCCGACCCACGAACAAGAAATCGATTTGTAAATGAACATGCGAGACACGCGGCCCGCATTCTAATTTATGCGCATAAACAGCATGAGGAGGCAACAAACTTGAGCCCCACTGAAAATGTACAGGGGTACAAATTCCAATATCATTTTCTTTTATTATCTGCATTTTTTTCACTTGGAAAACCTCCAACATTTACCATAGCTGTTTATTTCTAGTGTGAGAGGAATTTTGGGCACAAAAAAAGCAAAGAAAAATGTTCCCGTTCAAAGCGCGCTAGGTCGAAAGAAATCTGTAGGGCTCCGTTCTGATTTCTGAGCTGTTAATCAGATTATGCGATCCATCGGGGTACCATCCACCATTCTTGGTCGACATCGTAAATAGCGAAACATCTAACGTTAGAAGGGTACTAATAATGTTCGTAGCTGATGAAGCTTGTATGTGTATTCTACAAGAAAATAATAGAGTTAAAAGAGAACGGAATTTGTCCCCACTCATATCAAAAGTGAAAAAGGCAGCGGTTGAACAGGTGGCTGGACTATTGGGCCGAATGCGCGGCCAGCTTCACCTTGGTGTACATGCCCAAGTGGTGCATAGTACGCGTGGCGCATATTACCCTGAAGTACAGAGCTGTTTGATTGGACGTGGTTGGAAAGGCGCCCTATTAATTTCTTTTGAACTTGTAAGCTCGGGGAGAAAGCAAAGTTTATTTTATTTAGTTGAGTCTAAAATCCTTTTAGACCAGAAGGTACCAGTTGAAATGATTTTAGAGGGTTTCCGAAGACACAAATGAAAAAAGTGCAGATGATTAGAGAAAATGACGTTGGGATTTGTGCCCCTGACCATTTTCAATGGACTGCTCAAGCTTGTTGCCTCCACTTCCCATGTAGTTACTTGCAGATCGCTTCATTTGGTAATACGGGCGATTCACAATGCGCCTCCAAGAGTTTGCAACGTGTTTACCAAACATAGTGTGTGAAATCGTCTACCCTATCCAAATTGCATTGGGTCGACAGATTTTGTTGCAAACTCTTGGAGGCTCACTTTTGTGAAACCCCGTATTAGGCACCGCCGAGCACGCATAATTGGGGAGCGAGGTTGCACTGACTGTCCCGGGTGTTATTAAACTGGACGCCGCACCGCATCGCGAGGAGGGTGGATTACACCCGACCAACAAACGACTTGATTTCAAGTCTGACAATGAAGACAGGCCCTAACCAAACGACTGGCCGATGTAGGCAGTGTAGGCACTGTATCGATCATTTTATAGGCTTTGTTTATAAGTTACTGTTTGCTTCTTCTCCAAGCCCAAGCCAGGAGGCCTCCTCTGAATAATGAGTGCAACAGTTTGCTTTCAGATAGTTCATCACGTGCTTGTTCTTCTTTTCTGAAGTTGTGAAAATGCTTAACGAGTGCATCTCACATTACGCAAGTGTTCGGTGCACTTCATAAAACGCACTTACAAAGAGAGAGTTGAACTTGTGACCACAGAACGGGAAAAGAATGGAAATGGGAATATTGCCAGAGCTCCCATCGTCATTTGGTACAACAGATGTGTCTCCCTCGCTGGCCCCATGAGGGAACATAGGTCCTACAAAAGAAAACAAAAAGAAATGGCTGGTAACTTTTTATTCCAAAAGTCTTATCCCTTTTACTGCCACTGCCACTAGTTTATCAGAGGATTTTCTCATTGCTTCATCAGGCAGCGCCCTCTACGTTACAATGCAAAGAGGGCAGTTGTATCTGCATGGCGTGTGCCTGAAAGAATACTATTAAGTTCCATTTATAACGACATTGCAATTTGTCGAATCTGATTTGGGGCAGCCTGCGGAACATTAGATTCTAAAAAGTAATAAAATAGGTTTAATTGTATTTTTAAAAACAAACTAGGATCGTTGAAGACTCACTGAAAACGAAAATGGAGCATATTCCCATAAAATTTCACTTTCATTTGGCATTTTTCCCTTTGGAAATTATTATGTTATCAATGAAGATGTGAACCAGGTCATGAGTAATAGTTCTTTTAATTCTCCGACCACGATTGTCCATAAGCAAGGTTTAAACTATTTCTGCGACGTGAAACTGTACATCATTTTTACGAACCTACTGCAAACTGTAGATTGTTGCGAATCTGCAGTAATAGTAGATTCGTATCGACGAGGAAGGGTATCTTCACGTCCACCCCTTCCCTCGTTTTGATCATACCATGGAGGAAGGACACAGAAGGAGTTACAACTCTGGCACATCAAAGTGCTTGATGATCATTACCGTCCAATCAGACGAACAATAGTAAACATTCCAAAAATGCCCAATTACTGCCTGCAGGGTAGCCGGACAAGTGGGGCCAGTAATATCGTAACAATAGTTGTGGTGTTTTCTTTGGAATTAACTACAGACAGAAAAAATCTAACATTAGATTTACTTTTGCTGTTTTGGATAATTTTTAAGGATTTTGATGCCCTTTTCCATTATCCATGCACATGTTTGTAATTTTATTTTGTCACTCCAAAACATCAGTTTTCAAAGTCTTTGTAGGAGTTTGGCTAAGACTGGCCAACAAAATGTTGAACACCACAGGACAGTTAAGTTCACGAAAAACAAAATGCGCTGTTTCATCACAGGGAGTGATCATGATATCTCATACAGTACCTTTTTGTGTAAATTCTGTAATAAAAATAATTCAAATAAAACTCAAAATCTTACAAACAGCTTGGCTATTTATTCCCAAAAGAAGTCCAGAAGAAAGCGTTCGATAAGGGCAACAACTGCTCACGGACACTTCGGGTGTACAGTCTAATAAAAGCAACTGCGCAAGCACTAAATTTGATGTTCTTTTCAGATCATACCAAACACCAACGATGGCATGAATATTCAACTTCCTGTACTGCAGTACACGACGTTTTAGGGATGCAGATTAGCAAAGAAAAATTGTGGCGATGATCATGGGGCACAAAGGGAGCTTATGGTTGCAAAACAGGTGGTGCTCAGCAAGTATGCGCTGCGCTCTGGCTATGGACATAGATGTTATAACCCGGGCAGTTCAAACTCTTGCTGCGTTCTTCCTCCATGATCATACAAAGAGTGACCGTAGGGCTGGGAAAAGTCACATCATGGTGTGCTGCCGTGAGACTGATTCTACTGGGCCTCCGGTAGTGGTTTTAGCCCGATAGGTCTGGCTGCAATGACACACGTGTAATAATGTCTCCTAGGCGCAAGAAGAAGAGAGGCGAGTAGGCCTATGTGTCCAGCACTGATGGCATTGACTGCACGAATACTGTCGATGTTTCACGTAGCCAAAACCTGTGCAAGTGAATGAATGGAACCAACAAGTGTGCATTGAGGCGAAGGGTATTAGCGCCATAGTCTCGGGACTCCATGTTCGTGTAACGATGGGAAATAGTCATAGAATAGACTCGGAACTTCTGATTTGTGCCCACAGTTCCTTGTCGATTCTCCTTGAAATAGTATGTGGTACACTGAGTTCTTTAAATTCACATGAACATAACAATTTGAATTTTCCGTTCTGAAGACACTGTTGCTATACCTCGTAATTCAGGGCAAGCTTTTGCTTAGTTATTTAAGAGATGCCATGCATCAATACACTGTTTTCAATAGAATAAGAAGGGCACAAAGGAACCAGTCCATTCCAGTGCTAGTGGTCGCCATGCAAAAGCTTGTCCCGAATCAATTGAAAATCTGGAGGACTCAACATCCCATTACTTTTGTTTGAGAGGCGGTAGGGATTTCGGTTGGATGCAACGTCGCTCCGAACTTTGTAGAATTTACACAGTTTTCAGTGGGCTTGAAGTACATGTAGTGCTACATGTATTAACCAGCAAGAAAATGAGACCGAGGGGTCCCCCCAAAAAACATGTCCAATCGCTATACACACTCTAGACTGTTGTTACCTAAGACATTCCCCCCCCAGATGTCTGAAAAGAATTCCCCAGATTCCAGTGAGACAATGACCAACACAAAACAGGGTTCTCTTCGTCTCATATCTTGCTGATTCACATGAGTAGTGCAGTGCACCCGGTAAACCATTAACCTTTTCATTATGCAGTCATGACTACTACGTTGCCTTACGATATCACGCTGCGTGGGATATCGACACGGCATGTAAGACAGCGCATAGTCTAATTCAACTATCTGCTATGGAGGCGTTGGATGAACCACTGCATAAACGGGGCCCAATTGAATCTGCAGGATTCGAGAGGCGAGCACCGACATTGCGCATCAAAGTGACGCTCTGTTCGAGCAATACAGGAAAACATCGGCAGACCTTAAAACCGGCTGTAAGTGGGGTTTATTAGGGAAGGCCAATAAGGTCAGGTCTTATTTTCTTTGGCGAAATAACGCAAACCATTTGCGTATTAACGCAAAACGTTTGCAAAATAACACAATACTTTAGTTTCACAATGAGATCATATGGGCGTTACAAACATTGTGTGGAACAAAGTGAATTTTCCCCGTTTTGTTGATGCAGAGTATGCCGGAGGGACGTGACGTAGAAAGAACTCCGAAGCTTTTATTCCTTTCTTGGCTTGAGTTAGTCGCATAGGCCTACACAGGGAAATTTCGTCAGGAAAAAAATGCAGGACTTTTTAAAATGTACAAACTATGTGCAATAATAAGGCTTAAAGTTTCTTCCTAGGAAGATATCACAGTTTTGAATATGGAAAATACACAAAAAAGGTCCAAACTCTTACGGAAATGGACATGAATAAAAAAATAGAAGATATGGATGATACAAATTGTCTGTTTCAGTTAATTTTTTATGTTGGTTTGCTTTGTTTTTTTCCGTTTTGTTTTCCACATTTTTTATTCTGCTTTAATCTAAATTTTCATCTTGCGAAACTTATAGCCTCTTTACGAAACTGAATCAGCAAAAACGTCCAGTTAAACCAGTTTTTCTGTCTTGCATGGCGATTAAGTGGCACGAAAAAGAACGACGCTATCCTAAATTGAACACACTGCTAAAGGAATCCGAAAAACTCGAAATAAAATTGAATGCCTGAATCCCGAAATTGAAATAAAGTAAAACATTGAGTGGAAAAATGGATGTAATTCAAGCGCACGAAATTAAATTGGCTGCTCTTTTGCCGAAATTGATTGGGAAAACCTTTGTGAAATATCAGGAGACAGACTAAAAGAAAACGCAGTTTACTGTTTGATGTCGTTTACTTTCTGGTTGAGTGTAAGCTAGCTGTGATGTGGAAGGTTTTCTTTAATTGGTCCGTAATATAGGCCTTCATTTAATTTTGAGTATGGATGTCATCTTTTCTATGATATAAATGAGATGCCTTGACGAGATTTCTAATAACGCAATTCGTGTACTCCAATATCACACCAATATCACCATCTTCTACTGCTTACCGGCGCTATCGAGCAAAGAGCAAGGCGTGTCCTCATCTCCATTAAAGTACACACTCCCCAGGGTTGCATTGAAGTCTTCGGGATGCTCTTGTATTGCAGCAAGGTTCAACTCGCAGATTTTGCTGCAGTCGTAGAAGTTAAAAGACTTGCATCTCTTATCCATGCTGCAGTCACGCCCACAAATGACACGAGAGCGTACAGGTCTACGTGCAAACGTATACCCTTGCAGTGTGCGATTTTCCGCTGCGTACATGGTTTTAGGGAGTGGATTACACCGATGAGCAAAGACAAAAATGACCATTCCAAAAAATAGAACCAACCCAAAAATTTCAAAGCCAGAGGTCAGTTTTGCCATGTTGAATTTACAGACTTTCTGCGGAGTTGAGTTTTTGAAAGGAATGTGTGACATTGAACAGCTGGATGCTTGCTTTACTGCGTTCACAGTCGCCTATCTGTTTCTTGATAGAAAAGCCGATGTATCCACAGGATCCATCAATGACGGCTTGGGATTGTTCAATTTTTCACACCTGCTTTAACAGCTGAATGCGAACATCCCACGACACCGTTTACGTCTTTCCAGGTCAAAGACATTATATACGTCCTTTAGAATTATATCATGAATTTGGCGTTTTGGCGAATACAGGCAACGGATCGGCCATTGTGCTCCAGAAGAATGTTTTGAATTAACAATAAAGTTTATTTTTGACGATAATTCCATGCACTATTTCGAAAAGTGTGTAAAAGGCCAACACATTTAGTCCATATATCCCCAAAGAGACCTTAAAATGTAGCGTAAAAAATGAAATTCCACTATTTTTTGCCCAAAAGCAATTTTGTTCCCCGTCCTAAAATTGTTGATAGATCCGCCTTTTGGGGGTTAAGGAGTCCTTAACATTGTTTTATGATTACACCCAAACCCAAAGAAATCAACACTAACAAATAAAAGTAAGGACCGTGAGCAAGGCTTTCTTGATGTTTTTCTTCTCCACAACTTCNCAGGGGGGGGGTTCTCTCCGTCTCATACCTTGCTGCATATGTTTGAATGAGCCCAAAGCCTCGTTCGCTTTTGAATATGCCCCCCCCCCCCCAATCAAGAGCTGGGTACGCTGCTGCTCCAGGCCGCAGTGAACGTAACAACTATTGTGAGCAGCCGGTAAAGTTGGAGTATGGTGAACAATGGGTGCTTGTAAGGCAGAAACCACTATTAATGATGCATCAAAGCACTCCATGCATATATTGGCTGAGCAGACTGTTGACAATCATTTTTGTATTTTTACAAAAGGCAGCTATCCATGAATGTTTAATTTGTGGCACTGTGCAATTACGACATACAATGCCAACACACTCGTCAAGTGGCCACGTACGGCGTCAAGGTAATTTTCAAATGCAGATCAATTCATTGCTTGAACGAAAATGTACGTTTCGCTGCATCCATGCATCGGTTGACATTTGTCCAGAAAACTTGGCGAGGAGTTGCTGGCTTTTGTCCCTTGCTGTATATTCTCTGCGTTACTGTTTTATAAATGATCCATTCTCGTGCCCTTTTAAATGGAAACTCGACATTTATCGACAGAAGTGTAGGCCGATGGAGCGCGTCTGCGTCATGCACCAAACTGTTATTCCCGCCCTATTTTTAAAACGTCATTACGCTGTTTGCACTATTGCCACAGTTGTACAGCGAAACGAAGCCCGATGAGCAGCTGCATGTTGACCCGTTCGAAGTGAAGAAGACTACGCCCCACTTCTCCATTTTGAATTTCTGGTGCTTTTATCGTAAACTAGCGTTACGAAATTCTCAAATAAGAGTTGTAAGAACTATGATGCCTGTTTCCTGCAATTAAAAACACATGTACCAAACTGAAAACTGCAGCTTTATCAAAGAAAGCTAGTTATTAATGGCCCGCACTGGGAATGACAAGGGCGTGGTCCATCCCCTAATTAAGGGAGGAGGCTGGAAGACACGTCAGATTCTTGTTAATGATTCACGTAGACTTTACTGATTATTTATTTAGATAACACCTGGACATGGATATACATGTGGTTCCAGAATAGACTAAGAATAAGATATCTGAATAGCTAGGACATTGTTTAATCTAAAATACCCGCTAATTGAAATTATCATTCTAATGCACCATTCGACGCCTGTTCGAAAAGCCCCAGAGCAAGTTGTCCGGGCAAATTTTGTTGGCCCTGGGACATTCTGGTGTCCACGTAAGGAGTATGAAGAAGCCAGGTTCCCGTAGTGCACTCCGTATGGAGTCAAACCCGGGAGACCGTTCATACCTACCTCACTTGGCTGTTGGGGTACAACAAAGGACGAAACGTATGAATGTATCACTTGGTCTGTCATGAACACAGGAAGGGTGTGGAACCGTATGAAAGTGCATGATCTCTAAGGAAACATCAATGTTCCGCTATTGGTTGGCTATGCAAGATGAGATTATGAAAAGAGACTTGTCGGTTTCTGCCTTCTTGAGCAGAAGCGCCCCCTCATCGCTTGAAAACAGCCATGCTGGTTGAGAGTGTTTATTTTGTTGGTGCGATGCAACTGCAACACTTGCCTTTCATAGTCGTTCGTGAACCAGCGACGTGCAGTTCCCACCAATGGTGCCTCCATTGCAAGGAAAATTGCCCCCTCTCTTGGTCCATTTATTTGGCCATTAACACATGGGCATCGGTCAAATTACTTGGACGTGCCTTGCAAGCAGAGCTTTGTCCACTCTCTCTGTATACAGCTCATGCTTTCAGCCTCTTAACACTACGCAACAGTCAAATGGGGGCGTTATACCCTGACAACAGCAGTGCACTTCAACTGTGCCAGCTCTCTCTTTAAAAAGCTCGCTTTCCAGAGCTGTTTACAGCGCCAACCAAAATGACTGTTTATTATGTGTGCAGTATGGGCGTCGCGAGGGGAGAGCAAGAGGGGGCACTTGTCCCCCTTGGAAAAATGGGGGGAACATTAATTTAAAAAAGTTGGACAGAAACGAAGTAAATAGAAATAAGAGAGGGAAATTGGATGAAAGTCAGTCACGGATTTGCTTTCAAAGATATAGCCCTTTCACCCTTTAATGGGTTTATCGGAAATTATCAGTTCTCACTCAGGTTTGTTTTATTTTTTCCCGTTGCGGGTCAGAATATGGTTCCCCCGGAAAAAGTCCTGGCGACGCCCATGGCAGTACAGCATGCAGCTATTCAGGGCCTATTGTCCACGTACAATAATGAATAATCCACAAGTTTAGTTCCAATAATAGGACACCCAAGTCGCAACTCTATAAATAGCTCTGCTTTCAGCCCTTATGTACGCTCCAATAGGTGAAAATATATTCAACAATACAGACAAAGGAGGGCGTTGTACCCAGCATTGCACTTTAACCAGCGATCGGATTGCGGTTTTCAGCATCTTAACTCTCCCCTTTCAACCAACTGCTATCACACCCCTTTTTCGCAGGCAGCTATAGGTGTCACGCTATGTCCCTTTACCACGGTGCACTTAAACAGTTACACGCAGTTCTTCCATTCCAAGTTACTCTAGTCCTTGTTATAGGTTGGTGCTCCGTAACCTTTCCGATCCTACCAGTTCGCGCCCTAGCATCGCTCAAAGCAACCAGCGATCATTCACGTGGTCGCACGCGTCGAAGTTTCTACTTCAAAAAGAGGTTTTGCCAAATCAAATCTCTCTCCAAGTTTCCTGGTAGAATTACACCAAGACGTCACGGTTTTCGTAGTTCCTAATTACAGCAATGTCAGTTTGCGTGTTGATTGTATACGAGGAATAAGTGCGTAAAATTAAACCCGCGCCGTTCAAACAAAAAATTGAACACGAAGTCCTGATCTCATTTGTGCACTTTGCTTTCCCTCTCGAATTATTTTTCTGTAATAGGGAGTTTGAAATTCCCAGCTCTGCGGGTGAATAGAGTATTGCAAACTGGAGGGACGAATCTTTCATATTCGAAAACTTAATTTTCTAGTTATGGGCTTTTGTTATTCCCCCCTACTTTGGTATAAACTCCAACACCGATTATCAATCAACGCAAGGAAATGCATCATGTTATACTACTTTACATATCATAACTTGGTTCTTTTATTCTGTCTACAATAATGACGTAGATTTGAACATTATGTACCAAAAATAGGTGAAATTCTCAACAGATCACTAATTCACTAATATCATACACTCTGTCATCAACTGGACAGTGGGGCAAGGTCTTGTCACAGAGTGGAACGCCCTGTCCAGACAGTGTCCCGGGCAAATTATGCTACCAACAATGTCAAGATATAGGCTTATAAATAAATCCAACAGTTATACAAATCTTGGGAAAGTGATGTTAGATAAGAGTCTCTGATATATTAAATATAGGATTGAAACCATCTAAGATTTTAAAAGCTGAAAGAAAAGTTGTTAGTTGTTATTGCAACAACTGTTTTCAAATTATTGATTATACTTTGTGTCTTCGGCACAGACTAACTGATGTTTTAATAGTGAGACCAGGTTTTGATCTTGGCATGGAGCAAATCTCCGGGGCAGGTTGTGTTCCGTACGTCACGGTGTCCCCTTAAGAAGTAAGAAGGAGACAGGTTCCCAGATTCCACGCCGCACGCCATCAGTCGCTGAAGAACGTCCAGGACCGTGCTGTTTGGCTGTTGAAGAAAAGCAGACAAAAGACAGACAAATCAATTTCGGTCAAAATAGCCCGTAAGGGTCCATAGTATAATGCTACTTGTACAAAGTTCAAGTGTTGACTTCAAAACTATGGTTATGGATATAACACAATGTCTCAATTGAATGAGACAATTTTCTCACCAGGACATTTTTGTAGTTCCCAATAACGGCAATGCCTATGGCGCGGTGATTGTAAGAGGGGCCAGCGTGAGCCCCTATGACGTTCCAGCCACGCCCCACGTACACCCTCTCATCCCCACCAATCACAAAGTTGTAGCCGATGTCATTCCAACCTGAATAGACCAAAAGGATATTGAGGGTGATCTCAGTCTTTTAGACAAATGCTCTGCAAAACTGAATCCGAACACAGCCACATTTTAAAAGTTTTTCCAAACGCATCGTACTCTGATGTATAATGTTTTTGAGACACCGGTGGATATTTTGAGAAACGTCTTTCTGAACCACCAAGTGGGAAAGTGTTTCAGTTGGGAACGCTTCAATGGTATGCTTCGTTCAAATACATGAATACATGCATAACAGCATACGGAGGGCCATGGTTCACTGTCACTTGGGTAACCATGAGGCTTTTTTCCTCGTATCTCTTGAATTGTTCACATTCGTGTATGAATTCTCCATTTTGGTAAGTCAGAACAGCGAAATGAGCTATGGGGCTTTATACAACTTCTTCAGACCGTTGGTATCAACGTCATAGTTCTGAAAGCTCCTCATCATTGCTGAGCAGGTGTCTTGGGCGTAACACTGCCCGCTGCCTGTGCTGTGCCCTGCGGTGTGATGCACAATACAGTGGTCGGGCGTGTCCGGCATGGCCTTTGGAAACCTGGGTTTTCTTGCGCCCCACTCACACCTCTCGACGAGAGTAAGACCTGCACAGGCGTAAGCTAAACCGTAGGAAACAAAACAAATTACCTGAGAATGTTAATGTACGTATGCGCATATCTTGGTCCTTCGAATTTCCCCGACTTGTCAGCTCCCAATAACCATTTTAACGACAATGCTGAAAGTCCCCTCCATGCTTAAAGCAAAACAAAATACTGAAGGAATTGATGGATCGAGGATTTTCCCTTTTGAGTTTTTATAAATGGAATAAGATAATAAACACGGTGTGAACAAAACAAGTGGAAATTGATGTCCCGCCCCTACGATCAAGGAGAGATTTCCGCCCTTGGATGAGGTACGCAACGATGACAATAACCGCCGACAGTTTGTGCTGGAATTTTTTTCTATGGACACGATGGACCGGTATCTCAAAACTAATTAACTCCCACATAAACCGCCAACGACGTTTTCCTATGCCACGTGGGTGGTTTGCCCAAGCTCTGACGTCAGCGTTTCGCCATTAACACCATCCAAATAACAAAATGTCAACGATGAAAAACCCTTATATCTCAAATTCCAATAAAAATACATATGTTCACACAACCTAATGAGTTAAACCTCATCTATTGACATTGACACACGAAGCGATTTTAGTGGAATCTGCGCCCCGCAGGACTTGCCCAGCTCGCGAGTTGGAACTGAGATAGGCGCATAATTGAAGAATTTTCACTCCGTAATTTCGTTCCCACCGCCTACTTTTTCGTTCCCACGAATTAAAATTTTATTCGCACGAATTACTGAATTCGTTTCCACGAAATGCTAATTCGTATACACAAATTACTTATTCAATCATACGAATTACTGAAGTATTAAAAATAGAGAAATTTTCTCCATAATTCGCTGGAATTAGTAATTCGTGGGAATTACTGATAATGCACCTCTGCGGTCAGACCCATAACATTTGTGTGTGTGTATATGAGTTTGTTTCTGCATTCAATTGGGGACCCTNATAGGGGGTCCCCAGTTGCAGGCAAATGCACATTTGGGTGTGTGTGTGTGTGGGGGGGGGGTTAACAAACTTGTTTAGAGCGCCCCAAATTTGGATTTCTTTCTTTTATGGCCTTTTTAAGGGGTGAGGCTACATTTTATGTAGGTTTATCCAGTTTTTGGAACGAAGAGAAATTAATTTGACAGGAAAGAATCGCCTTTCTGTCAAAAACGATTCTATGCCCTTGTGTAGACATTAACTAAGAATTCTAAAATTTGGAAGCTCCATTCCAAGAAGCAATCTGATTGAAACGATCGTTGTAAGACCACAGAGAGATGGGCAAACCTTGATCTGAACCCATCTTTAAGAGCTGTTGCCAAGAATCTATGACTGTTTGCACGTACACTTCCTTTTCATAATTATAGTAATTAATCCACGTGTGTGAAAACACCAGCGATTCACTTTCACATGTGTGAAAACACCAGCGATTCACTTTCAGATCTCTCACTAAAGTTTTCACTACATCATCATTGTATTATAGTAATTCACTACTGCATCTTTTTGAAAACGACACCAACCTTGCGTTCGTAAGCACGACGCAGCAAATCCTATTGTCAAAATAGAATGCACCAATTAGACAGAAGGGTAAAGGAAACCTCGGATTCCATTCCATTTCAGATGGAAAAGGTTTGAACTTAAGGCGTTAGTCGTGGCCAATATTTGATCCGATGTTTTATCTTATCCTTTTATTTACTTATTTTTTTGGGGGGGGGCTTGTCTGTTTCCTTTTGTTACTTTTTTATTTGAAGTTATCGATTCATGCACCGTACACAGACTCTAAATGAGACAAGGGGCGTATCCAGCTTTTGGTGGTGGTGGGGGGGGATTCAAAGGCGAAAGCGGCTTTGGTCACATTCAACATGATGTTTGGAGAAAAAACAATGTCACAGGTCTTACTTGCGGACTCGATATCCTTGCTTTTATTTCATGGTGTTGTTTTCTTAGGGTTTGGGTGTTGATTAATAAATATACTTTTTATTACTTTTTTACATATAGAGTGTTCTTTGTTAAAAAAAGGAGTCGGGGGGAGGGAAGCTGCCCCCTGACACCCTCACCAGCTGGACACGTCACTTGACGAGGCTCTAATTAGTCTACGTATGGAAGCCAAAGCCGATCACTTTCTACTACTTACCCTTGTCAGCGAGCGAGTAGAGAAGCGTGTCCTCATCTCCATCAAAGTACACACTCCCCAGGGTTGCATTGAAGACTTTGGGATGCTCTTGTCTTGTAGCAAGGTTCAACTCGCAGATTTTGCTGCAGTCGTTGAAGTTAAAAGACTTGCATCTCTTATCTATGCTGCAGTCACGCCCACAGATGACACGGGAGCGTACAGGTCTACGTGCAAACGTATACCCTTGCAGTGTGCGATTTTCCGCTGCGTACATGGTTTTAGGGAGTGGATTACACTGATGGCCAAAGACAAAAATGACCATTCCAAAAAATAGAACCAACCCAAAAATTTCAAAGCCAGAGGTCAGTTTTGCCATGTTGAATTTACAGACTTTCTGCGGAGTTGAGTTTTCGAAAGGAATGTGTGATATCGAGCAACTGGATGCTTGCTTTACTGCGTTCACAGTTGCCTATCTGTTACTTGACAGACCGTGGTGAAAAGCTGATGTATAGCTCCGCCCATTTTGAGAACAGGATCCATCCATTCAGGAACCAATGACGGCTTAGGATTGGTCACGATTTTTCACACCTGCCTTAAAAGCTAAATGGTAACATGCAAGCCTTTGCTTGTCATAGACACTAAATACGTCCCTCAGAATTACATGATGATTTTGGGGTTTTGGCGAATCCAGAAGGAGTGGCAACATGGCCCAATGCTCCCCTAAAAGGGTGCTTTTCAATAACAAGGACTGGCAATTTCGGGCAAGGATTTAAATTTCTTCCAAAAGCATATAAAATGCCCACAATTTAGCCCTCATGTATCCACAGAAAGCTGTGGATTTCAATTTCAATTTTTGTCCTCCCCTAAAAAAAGTCAACCCCCCCGACAGTTTGGTTCTAGATCCACCCCTGTGCATGGGGTTATGGAATCCTTTACATTATTTTAAGATTATCATTCGAAACCACTTTTTCGAAGTGAACTTAACTTATTTTACATTTTGACAACTTCTCCTATTCAGAGATAATTTACATCTATTAATTAGATGTAAGAAAATATATGCATTATCTATTGCTTGGTCAAATTTCAAGAAATATTAAATTTAAACGGTCGTTTTCTTCACCCATGGTTTGCAGTCATCAACTTTACCTTTGCTTCGCACCTTAATCTTTCACTATACAATGTTTCCTATATGTCATGCTTATACCTCGTTATATTGCAAGTCCTCACCGCTGTTATACATGAAGACTGCAGGCCTTAAGCGGTGTTGATGAAAGCAGCAATTATTTGTCAGCAGTACTGCAGGGTGGGCTTGGAGGGCTTGAGCCCCGAGATGTGTCTTTTCTCTTCAAAGAAACGCAGGTACAATGTATATCTACATCTTAAACTATAAGCACTATTTTAGCCGTAAATCCTCGTCCCCTTTGTCGTGACCGAGGAGGGACGGGCTTGAGCCTGCTCTCAACGACAAATCCTGGGTTCGCCACTGGTTGTTAACGAAGGTGGGACGAAAATGGTGAAAAATTGGTTGGTGTGAGGCGCCTTAATGTCTACTGGCGTTTTAAGGGAACAATTAATGATGCATTGATGCTTCTACTGGCTTGACACGTTGTTGTAAATCATCTATTGAATTTCGTCTTACAAAGGACAGTTATCTAGAAATTTTGTATTTGTGTTACCGCGTAATTACGACATAATAGGCCTACCACACTTATAAAGTGACCACAGTGTAAATGGAATCATCAAAATGTTCGAACAAAATACATGCTCGTTTCATTCATATGGCAGGTGACATTTGGTACGAAGATGGGGAGAGCTCCCTTCCTAGCTGTATACTCCATGCGTTACTCATACGCCAACCAGTTCGTATGCCTAACAATTTGTACATTCAGCAATTTGTTCACTGACATAAATTACATTAGATATCAGCTCTTTTCAGAGCCAGAAATCCTACATAAAAGGAAACTTGAATTTGCACTTATCTATAAAATTATCCATAGAAGTACACCGTTTTGAAGGAACTGTCTCAAGAATAAATCAGTTACCGACTAAATTGTCCCAAATATTAGTTAAAACAGAGTCTTCAAAACCATCAATACTAGATGGGATTTTACACGTATTGGCACCAGCCCGCATTTGTCATACTGCAATTCAGCGTACGAGTTGGTCGGTGTTGAGTTGGTCGACATATGAGTTGGTTAGCACGAGTTGCCACGCGTGCCAGTTGACCAGCATTCTATCAAAACGTAACTCCATGCTGTAGAGGAACAGCTGTTGAGTGGCCAACGGAAGTTTTTTATTTAATTTAAACACTAAATAAAACCATTTCCTCTGAGTCCAAACCTTCTCAGGCAAGAAAGAGATTAGTACAGATGGAGTGCAAATATCGAAATTTTCGCATATTGCATCCCTTGAAGTTTGGCGATATTTTGGAACTTTTTCTTGTGATATAATTTCAGTATAAAAACCACACATTTTCTATCACCCATTTCAACGTTTATCAAACGTCCCAATACAAGCTCAGAAGGTCAGTATTTGAAACCCATAACCTCCTGACTGTTTACGGTAAGGTAACAAAAAAACATCAATTCTCGGTCTCTCATCAGAACTTCTTGTAAAGTTTTCCCCTGAATTATGTAACTTTTCCTCCAATATAGTCTGGAGGCTCCAAATTGAATAAATGGGATATACAACCCTCAGTAATCAAGTTGGACAATCGGGAAAATTTATACAAATTAAATCAATGGTTGAAACTTTGGGGAATAACCTATTCATTGGGCTAATATGTTGATGGCATCCAGACTACTGTGTCCGATTCCGAATTCACTTTATAATGAAAAACTCAACATCACCTGAAATTCTGATATGACATTTGCTCGAAAATTGGATTATAAACAAAGTTTTGTAAAATACCATTAACAAGGATTCAGTGCCAGTTTCCGAATGTGGGTACTGATAACAAATCAGAGATAAAAGACACATAAAGTCCTGTCACGTGCGCTATTTGCCTTCCTGCTCAATTACTCCTTACTGGGGAATTTGTAGCTCACACGCGTAAATACAGATAAAATAATATTATTTACCCATCTCAAGGGACAGACCATTCCCACAAATCAGTATAGGCAACAGGCAGGCTATGGAAGTTGTGGCCATAACAAGTTAAAATTCATTTCCATTTATGGACCAAGACTGTTTATTTTCCCCTCAAATCAAATTAAACCAACTCTGATTACACTTATAGCCCATGTATTATACTTCATAGATGCAGAATTTCCATCCACCATGTCTACATTAATGAAATAGATGTTGAATATTAAGTTGCCAAAATAATTGATTTTATTATGAAAGAAATTATGAAAACCAGCCCCAACAATCGTACAAAACTTCTTGACTATGTCAATACACAATTAAACAACCCTAAATCAAA